TTGGATTTCTCTGAAGTAAAATTTTGCTGAAGATCATCCAACAATTGCAGCAGTCTAGTGACAGGGAACTTCCAGAGGTTCAGGCAGGGTTGAGAAGAGGACATGGAATGAGGGATAACACTGCTGATCTTGGCTGAAAGAAGACTACCAGCAAGATGTTTACTTGTGTTTTATTGACAGTGCAAAGGCATCAGACTGTGTGGACCATAATCCCAGAACACTTCATTGTGCTCATTTGGAATCTGCACTTGGATCAAGAGTCAGTTGTACAAACAGAGCAAGGGAATACTGCATGGGTTAAAATCAGAAAAGTTGTGCGACAAGGCTGTATCCCCTCAACATACTTATTCAGTCTGTATGCTGAGCAAATAATCACAGAAGCCGGCCTAAGTGAAGAAGAACGGGCATCAGAATTGGAGGAAGGCTATTAACAACCTGAGATATGCAGATGACACACCTGTGCTTGCCGAAAGTGAGGACTAGAAGCACAAGCTGATGAAGATGAAGGACTGTAGCCTTCAGTATGGATTACGATTCAAGGTAAAGAAGCCTCACAACTGGACCAATAGGGAAATCACGATAAATGGAGAAAAAGTTGAAGTTGTCAAGGATTTTACCTTGCTCAGATCCAATCAACGCTCATGGAAACAGCAGTCAAGTGATTAACCGACAAATTGCATTAGGGAAATCTGCTGCACAAAACCTTTTTAGAGTACTAAAAAGCAAGAATGTTACTTTGAGGACTCAGGTGTGCCTGACCATAGCCATGGTATTTTCCATTGCCTCTTATGCATGTGAAAGTTGGGCACTGAATAAGAAAGAACAAAGAATGGATGGATGCATTTGAATTGTGGTGCCGGAAAAGAGTATTGATAAGTACCATGAACTGCTAAAAGGACAAACGGGTCTGTTTTGAAAGAATATGTCCAGAGTGCTCTTTAGAGGCCAAGATGGCAAGACACTGTCTTCCATACTGTGAAAACAGTGTCAGGAGAGACGACTCCCTGGAGAAGGACATCATGTTTGGCAGCGAAAATGATGAAGGCCCTGCATGAGAAGAATTGACACAGGGGCTGCAACAACGGCTGCAGGTACAGTGAACCCT